AAAGAGGAATAGAAAGCAGGTAGAATAAATGGTTAGAACAGGGAAAATGAGTTTTATATTTATTTTCCTAGGACCAAGAATGTGTTTTATAAATGCGTCAGCTCTACACTTGGTACTTTATAATATTTGTAGGAGTGCCTCTTTTGTTTTCAATGTAATCTTTTGAAATCTCAGGTAAGCAACAGCAAATGATGAAAAGAAAGATATGGAGAGTAGGTCTCCACATCATTCTGAATTGCTTTCACTTCCACCAAGCTGCTTAGCATGGGGAGATGAAGTTTAAAGGGGCCAATTTAGGGTCCCACTCTCTGCTACTGTACGCATAGTAAGACAAGCATAGGTTGAATATGTGAAACTAGAGCAAAAAAATATTTTACACGAATTAAATCTCAAGAAAATATTTTTGACAGTAAGTGCTTCAATTCGAACAGTCTATAGATTAAATGTGTGGCCATGGAAAAGAAGCTGCAATTTAAAAAGTGGCTTTTTTTCTATACATGAGATAATCAGAGACATATTAGATGATGGTCACGGAAATTTTTTATCTTGGGTATTCGATACACACAGGCTATCACAATGAAAACTACAAAATCAAATGAAGAACCAATAATATCTCAAACTTATGAAATTGCTAACCTTTCTTGAGGCCTATCCAGGAATAATATCTTACTATATAAAGCAAAAGAACAGCAAGAAAGAAGCAGTGGATGTTTTCAAAAGCGAGGAAATGTAGGGAAAGGGAGCCAAATCAGTATTTAAGCTGACAAATTCCGGTGAGACCCTCTAGTTATCTTGCGCTACTGTGCCCAGCAGCTCCTCTGGCTGCCAGATTCGATTGCGTTCAGGCTTCCTTTGCACTTTCTTGGTATTTGGAAGCTGCAAAGTAATTCTCTTTTTTCTTATAAAACTGACCCAAAGGACATCAAGGGAGAGAAGAGACATATTCCTTGTTTTGCGGGTGGATAAAATGGAAATTGAAGTTGAAAGCACAGATAACCCATGTTGTGCCCATATACAATGAGTAGCAGCACCAAGGAGGCAGAAAACATGTGGATTTCAGACAACAGTGTTGTGTTATCAGGGTCGAGGCTTTGCAGGATTCTAGGACCACAGCTCATGTGGCACGAGGGTGGTGCTAATACAATCACCTTGTTCAGCAGTGAGCTAAAATAATGTATAGGATGAGAGGAAGACAAAGTGTTTTATATCTTTCCTTAAGATTGACAGCTATTCTGACCAATGGTGTTCTGACAATATCATTTATGGATGTTTTAGAACTTTCAGTTCAGTTCAGTTCAGTCGCTCAGTCGTGTCAGACTCTTTGCGACCCCATGAACTGCAGCATGCCAGGCCTCCCTGTCCATCACCGACTCCCAGAGCTTGCTCAAACTCATGTCCATCAAGTCGGTGATGCCATCCAACCACCTCATCCTCTGTCGTCCCCTTCTCCTCCTGCTTTCAATCTTGCCCAGCAGCAGGGTCTTTTCCAATGAGTCAGTTCTTTGCATCAGGTGGCCAAAGTACTTTAGACTTCAGACAGGTCCTTCTTAGAACCAACCTCCGTGAGGTTTGTAAACTTTGTTTCCAGCTGCTTCGATTTTCCAGGGCTTTCATCTTCCCTTTTGCTTTTCTTATTTGCTTCCAAAAGCTCTAGATTAACATACCTCTTGGGGCAGAGGCCGGCTAGTGGTATTCCTGAAGACCTGTTCTAATGGCTTATATTCTGCCTATATTCTGTCCTTTCTTTTCATCAAAGTAGATCTTTTGAGGCTTTTTTCCCTGAGAGCTTTGTTAGTGAAGTAGCTTATAACTTAATCATCAACATTGTAAAAAAAAATGGTGGTAAAGAGTGATCATGACTAAGTGTTCCAAGCCTCTTTCATGACCAACATAAACTAGCATTTTAAAAAGCAAAAGTGAAAGTCGCTCAGTCTCAGTCGTGTCCAACTCTTTGTGACCCCATGGACTATACAGCCCATGGAATTCTCCAGGCCAAAATACTGAAGTGGGTAGCCTTTCCCTTCTCCAAGGGATCTTCCCAACTCAGGGATCAAACCCAGGTCTCCCACATTGCAGGCAGATTCTTTACCAGCCACAAGGGAAACCATTAAAGGGCAAGGGGGGGACCTAATTGAAAAGCATGTGTTATGAGGATGTCAGGATGGCTGACACTGAAATGACAAATGAAAATTATTGTGGCACCAGGATCTATTTTGTCCCCGAGGAAAACACCATGGAGATCAGCAGTTGATTCAAATTGCTTTTCCTCTCCTCCCTTTTGATAACAAGGAAAGCAAACACACACTTTGCCATCCTAAAGAAAAAACTCTAATTGGCCCACAGCAGGTGAGTGCTCCACGTCCTGGTAGCTGTAATAATGATCGATAGGCACTGGCACCCCACTCCAGTCCTCTTGCCTGGAAAAGCCCATGGATGGAGGAGCCTGGCAGGCTGCAGTCCATGGGGTCGCGAAGAGTCAGACACGACTGAGCGACTTCACTTTCACTTTTCACTTTTATGCGTTGGAGAAGGAAATGGCAACCCACTCCAGTGTTCTTGCCTGGAGAATCCCAGGGATGGGGTCACACACGACTGAAGTGACTTAGCAGTAGCAATGCAGGAAAAGACCCTGATGCTGGGAAAGACTGAAGGTAGGAAGAGAAGGGGATGGCAAGAGGATGAGTTGGTTGAATGACACCACCGACTCAATGGACATGAGTTTGAGTAAGCTCTGGGAGATAGTGAACAACAGGGAAGCCTGGTGTGCTGCAGTTCACAGGGTCACAAAGAGTCAGACGTAACTTAGCGACTGAACAACAACAAAGGGGTCAAAAGAGGGGGTGAGTAACATGGAGATGAAGAGGACGAGCACAGAAGTGAGACCTGGAATCCGGGGGCTTCAGACACTGCCCCTCCACCACTGCAGTTTAAGATACAAGGTCGTCCCTGCACATTTCCAAGCCTTGGGTTCCTCTTCTACAAGTTGGGGAGGGATGAATATTTCTTTCTGAAATTTATAGGAGTATAGCTGCTTTATAATGCTGTGTTAGTTTCTGCCATGCAGCAAAGTGAGTCAGTTATACATATATCTATTCTTTTATAGATTTCCTTCCCATTTTGAGGTCACCACAGAGCATTTACTGGGTGGCTCAGCTGGTAAAGAATCCACCTGCAATGCAGGAGACCCTGGTTCAATTCCTGGGTTGGGAAGATCCCCTGGAGAAGGGATAGGCTACTCACTTCACGTTCTTGGGCTTCCCTGCTGCCTCAGACATTGACAAATCCGGCTGCAATGCAGGAGACCCGGGTTTGATCCCTGGATCAGGACGATCCCCTGGAGGAGGGCATAGCAACCCACTCCAATATTCTTACCTGGAGAATCCCCACAGACCAAAGAGCCTGGTGGGCTGCAGTCCATGGCATCGAAAAGAGCTGGACATGACTGAATGACTAAGCACACACACAGAGCACTGAGCAGAGTTCCCTGTGTATACAGTAGGCTCTCACTAGTTATCTATTTTATACATAGTAGTGTATATATATCAACTCCAATCTCCCAGTTAATTCCACCCCCCACCCCCCGCTTATCCCTTGGTGTCCCTACATTTGTTCTCTGTGTTCAATTCAGTCGCTCAGTCGTGTCCAACTCTTTGCAGTCCCATGAACCGCAGCACGCCAGGCCTCCCTGTCCATCGCCAACTCCCGGAGTCCACCCAAACCCAAGTCCATCGAGTCGATGATGCCATCCAACCATCTCATCCTCTGTCATCCCCTTCTCCTCCTGCCCTCAATCTTTCCCAGCATCAGGGCCTTTTCCAATGAGTCAGCTTTTCACATGAGGTGGCCAAAGTATTGGAGTTTCAGCTTCAGCATCAGTCCTTCCAATGAACACTCAGGACTGATCTCCTTTAGGATGGACTGGTTGGATCTCCTTGCAGTCCAAGGGACTCTCAAGAGTCTTCTCCAACACCACAGTTCAAAAGCATCAATTCTTCGGTGTTCAGCTTTCTTTATAGTCCAACTCTCACATCCATATGTGTGTGTCTCTATTTCCCCTTGGCAAATAAGTTCATGTACACCATTTTTCTAGGTTCCACATACATGCGATATTATACTAATCTGTTTTTCTCTTTCTGACTTACTTAATTCTGTGTGACAGTCTCCAGCTCTATCCAGGTCTCTGCAAATGGCACCACTGTGTTCTATTTTATGGCTAAGTAATATCCCATTGTATATATGCACCATATCTTCTTTATCCATGCCTCTGCTGATGAACATTTAAGTTGCTTCCATGTCCTGGCTATTGTAAATAATGCTGCAATAAACATTGGGGTGCACATATCTTTTCTTGGGGTACTCAGAGGCTTTCAGTGAGGATTAAACGAGGCCATGAATATAGAACACAATATGTCACATGGTTAGTCGCTGAAGATCTGTCAGCTGTTATTGTTACTGCCCTTTTTGACCTCATCATCTACTCAACTTCCTTTTCAAATAACTTATTTAAGAACTTGTCTCTTATTTTTCACTTCAAATGATAGAAATAAAAAGTACTTGACTACAGTGTGTGAGATAAATATCCACACTTCTTTCACATTTAGAGCCAATCTGTGATTCACATTTAAGCTGGCTTCTCAAAACAATTTCCAGCACATTCTACTTGCAGTCAGATGAAGTGGCAATTTTCTTAAAATATGGAGCAGTTTGGTGCTGGGCAGAATATGTATTCAGGCTCATAAACATAAACATTTTTAATGCAGCATTTAAAGATGAACTATGTAACTCCAAAATGCTGCAAAATAATTTCAGGAATAAAGAAATGCAGCTAAAGGAGAATGGAAAGGAAGCTAGAAAAGAATCCAAGTTTTCTACGGTGCAACAAAGTTGATCATGGGTAAAAATTTGTTCTTGGGAATTTTTTTAGAGGAAGACAGTAGCACATTCCAGGAAGTATTTACACTAGATGACAAGCAACTTTGGTAATTACTTCTGACTCTGACCTTTTTCTAGGAGCCCAGGGTCGGCGCCGAGGCTTTCTTCAGAGATGACAACCATATACTGATGTTGAGTGAGAATGCTCTGGTGGAGCTGAAGCTCCCTTTGGCTGGAGGAAGAAGGCCTGTAGAGAACAGCCCTTCTGCCACGGCTGCTGAAGTGGGTCTCAACTGACTGTTCGATCTACAGACAAAAAAAAAAAGAAGGTATAAAAATTCAAAAGGAAAAAAGGAGCATATTTTCCTTGAAGGAGATCATTAATGTAAATAAGGAGCCATTCAGAAAGTTGTCTTTGAAGGTTTTCTCTGGCAATGCTCTGAAAGGCGCACAAGGACAAAAGCAACCTCATTTGCGAGAACTGAAGGTGAACTGTATTTTTCTCACTATTCCAGAAAGATGAAGATTTCAGGCCATTAAAATACAGAGTTCCTGGAGGAATACTGTGGTATAGAAATACCAAGCTCAACTCTGCCTGAAAAATAGAAATTAATAGCAATGCTTTTCATCTGCGTTGTGCTTTTCTGTAATAGTTCCAGCTGCCTTATCTTTTAACAGTTCTTTTAGGTAAACACAGTAGAGGAAAAAGACCCAGGGAGGATGGGTTTTGTGCCTGAAGGACATGGGGGACAGCTGAAAAGCAGTCCCAGAGCTCTTTGCAGGCACAATGCTGTCGCTTCTCTCGATCAGGATGCAGCAAAATTTCAGTGCCTCTCACTGAGGCAGGATGGATCTTCATGTGAGAAGAGGAGGGTATCACTCAAGAACCATAATTTTAGGCTCTCCCTTCAGCAGTTGACTGCTTCTCCAAATAAATATTCTTTCTCACAATGATGTTTGAAGTATCATTAACAAAAGGGAAGTTTTGAATTGGCAAGTAGAAAGAATGCTGACAATGAAATTCATTACATGGTTTAAGCCATTCCTAGTGACTAGGACAGTAAAGAATCTGTCTGCAATGCAGGAGACTCGGGTTGATCCCTGGGTCGGGAAGATTCTCTGGAGAAGGGAATGGTTACCCACTGCGGTGTTCTTGCCTGAAGAATTCCATGGACAGAGGGCCTGGCAGTCTACAGTCCATGGGATTACAAAGAATCAGACAGGACTGAACGACTAAAATACAGACACACATACACATGTGGTCTAATGCAGATACTGTGTGTTTTCCTGAAAATTTGTGATTAAACCTTGATAAAGTAGACATTTTTTACTACTGAAGGGAATGATAAGACTGGGTGGAGATTAGGGCAAAAAGAAAAAAATGGGAGAGGCCAAAGAAGAGGAGACAAAGGGTTGGAGCAGGCAGATGAGGGGAAAGAGGTAAAAAATGAAATTAGGAATCCACACTACTTTTAGTGGCAGCTCTGAATCAAATTGTCCATTTTGTGGCTCTCAAACATAATTTGCACCATGTCTTTTCACTCCTTAAATTTCTTCATTATTTCCCATTTCTGACTGAATCAATTCCACATCTTTATCACAGAATGCAGGCCACTTGAACTTAAACCCAATCATACTTCTCTGGTCATGTCACATTTTTAATCATATCCATTCCTAATCCTAACCTGCTGCTTCATATAGACGCCCCGTGCCTTCTAACAACAATTCCTTCCTCTCTCTCCATTCTTCCATTTAGCAAACTCCAAATCAAACAGTACTTCTTTGGAAAATTTTGATTGACAAACATCCTTCCATCAGCACTTACAAAATGGTGTGTCTCTCTGATTTGAGTTCCTTAACATGCAGCCTGCATTGTCCCTGTGTCTTTGGTAAACATTGTACATATTCAATAAATGACCATATCAAGTAAAATAATGGACCATAATGCTCTATCAAGATCTTATCTTTGAAGATTAATATGAAAAGAAAGAAGAAACAGATTTAGCTTGTGAATCCTTTGAAGGCAGGCACCATATTCTGTTTTTCATTGCTTACATAGGATGGCTATATGAAAATCAATCTACAAAGCATGGTATAGTGGAGAAGGACACAAAATCTGCAGCCAGGATGCCAGCTCTGAATCTCTTGGTTCCACCGGCACTAATCCTATGACCTTGGACAGTACCTTCTTCCTAAGGCTGCTTTGAGGATTAAGGAGTTAGTATTTGTAAAGTGCTTAGAACTGTGCCTGGCATATGTGTTTCGTCCCTTAGTCATGTCTGACTCTTTGTGACCTTATGAACTCTAGCTCGCCATGCTCCTCTGTCTATGGGGATTCTTCAGGCAAAAATACTGGAGTGGGTTGCCACGCCCCCCTCCAGGAGATCTTCCCAACCCAGAAATCAAACTCAGATCTCCCACATTGCAGACGGATTCTTTACCAGCTGAGCTACAGAGATGGGCCTGGCATATAAGAAGTGCTATATGTGTGTTTTTAAAATAATCATAAGTCATAAAGAGCAAAGAGTCAGGAACACTGTTTCCGTGTCTGAGCTTCACCTGGCACATGCTAACACAAACTCATAATATGTGTATGAATACAAAAGGAAGAAAGAGAGCACGAGCTATCACACATTCTGTGCATGGTACTTTGGGAAAACATGATCAGATATTTCCCCTTGTTAAAGGAGTTCATTTTATTGATAATGAATCTATTTAGACTCAAGAATTTAACTGCAAATTGGAACATAATTACTCAGCAAATGTTGTGATTGTTTGTAGTGGTAAACTTTTAAGAAGGAGGATTTGAAACCAAATACAGGCTGAGTCTTTGGACTCAGGAGTCAGAGGGAACCAGTAGCAAGAATCTACAGGAGGCGAAAATAAACAAAGGTGGGTCTAGGTGAAAGGAGAAGACAGATGCTTCCAAATATATCAGTGTTATTCAAGCAAAACACAGTGTCCAGAATTCCCTTCTCACATTATTTTCTTTCGCAATCACAGGATGCTCCTCTCAGTTACAGCTGGCTCGGGCACAGGAGTGACTTCTCATGAGAAGACTGTATTTTCAAACTTTACCTTCTTATTATATTGAAAGATATAATCCCTCCTCCCCACCCCTCCCCTAAACCAGGATCAGTTTATGTAAGAGCACCATAATCTTACCAGCATTATCTTACAGACAGCATATTCTAAATAGAGTATTAATTACTGGCCATATTTTATCATAACCTTTATAACACATTGACATTTTAACTCACGTCTCAGACTACAGAGAATAAATAGGAAATGAGCGTGTCCATCAAATTAGGTTACGTTATCCTGTAATACAAACTGCCCCTGTCCTTGTAATATTTATAACAGCCTGTATCAGCAGAATGGCCCAATACCAAGGGGCGAGAGCGGTTTCAGCCGGTCGGACAACAGGTGCCCTGCACTGCGTCTGTGAAATACAATTATGTCAACCGCACCAGCAAGTGCGGGATGATCAAACGCCCGGAGCAGCACTTTTGGAAATGAAAGCTCCCGATGACGCCTACGATTTTGAGAATGTATTTTAGCGGAAGAATACATTTAATCTGGCCAGCACTACAACGACTGAACTTGAGACTTGCGGGTCTGCCGGGGAGAATTTAGAAAAGAATGTGTGTTTCTGGGCATTCGATAGGCTGAACCCGGAACCACTTCCCCGTCTCCCTTCTTCCTGAGAGATCTGCAGAAAAGTCCGTCGAAAATTGCTTCACTAGACTACACGAAAGTTGTTTCATACTGAACACTTACCATTTTTACTGGAAGGACTTCAAAACCTGAAGTCTCTATGCTGCCTAAGGATAAAGTGTTGTAATAAACTAGGTGGAGGACTAGATGCAGGGACATGGAGTTAGGACAGCAGTGCGTGTGTATATTAGTCGCTCAGTCGTGTCCAGCTCTTTGCGACCCCATGGACTGCAGCCCACCAGGCTCCTCTGTCCACGGGATTCTCCAGGCAAGAATACTGGAGCGGGTTGCCATTCCCTTCTCTAGGGGATCTTCCCAACCCAGGGATCCAAGCTGAGTCTTCCGAATTGCTGGCAGATTCTTTACCACAGAGCATCTGGGAAGCCATCAGAACAGAGCAGGGCTGGGAATCAAAAATCTGGACTTGGATTCTGGCTCTGCCCCTGGCGTGCTTCCTCCATGGGAGAATGACAGTCATCTCCTCACATCAGAGTTTTCTCACATGTACAGTTGAAGTAACAAATCTTACTTCATGAGACTGTATGGGGAATTAAATCACATTTTTATATGAAAGCATGCACTGCAGCATCCCACCAATAAACCATATGAAATATATGCACGTAAAACTGAATAAAAATCAGTATCATAATGTAACTGCTTTTACATTAGTAATTAAGTTTTCCATAGTCTGGTCCCTGTCATAACTTCTATATACCCTGGTAAATATTTCTCTCTGTATGGATTATCATCTTTTAAGGCAAAAATATGATTTCCTTATTATTTTATTGTCTGTTTCCCCACACCATAAAATAAGGTAAAAGAAAGTATATATTTTTGTCTATTTTGCTCATTTTTGCTTCCCCAACCGAAGAATGGTACACTTGGCACATAGCAGGCACATAATAAATTTTCTTTCAATGAATGAATATAACATTGGGTTTTTTTCAATATGTAAAAGTCATTTTTATAAATACTAGCATGAAAGATTTGGATAGAAAGTGGTAAAAATTAATAAATTTGTTTCAGTAGAATTTTGAACAGTGGCAAGAATGACAGAGTCAAATTCTTGAGCAAAGTAATGAATTTACAGTAAAAAAATTTAATAAAGAACTATACTATAAAGACACTATATTTCTCAGTCAGTTCAGTAGCTCAGTTGTGTCCAACTGTTTGTGACTCCTTGAAATGCAGCACACCAGGCCTCCCTGTCCATCACTGTATTTCTCAGTTACTATTAAAAAGTCTTCATTAAGACTTACCACAAAAGCAAGAAATACAGCTTTTGAAAAATATAGTAGAGATGAGAAATAAAACTTTTTTTTTCCATATGATGGAAAGATTTTTTCTGGATTTATTAAAGTAGCCATGTATTTATGAGATCTTTTGATGTTTGAATACAAATCATAGAGTAGACCTCAGATGGGTGTCATATATATCTAAAAGTTAAATTGCCATGCTGTCTAGATTTCTGGCATTTTAGAAAGATTGTAGAGTCTATCATAGTGAATTATGTTTTAATTTTTCCACTACAAGAATACAGAATTTTTTTTCCATTGGTGAAATGTACACTTATTTTAGAGAATTCAAGA